ATTATATTTATATCCCCGAAAAAAGTGATATATATTGTATATGTTATTGAAAGTCTGATGAAATTTCCGTTTTATACCTTAATTACGTACTGTGGATGATGATCTATGTAATTATCTCTTGTCTATGTCGTATAATAAACAAAGTTGTGATAAAGTTCAGTGATTCATATCAGATGGTCAGATGGTCGCGCGCGCGCGCGGAACAACTCCAAAACCAAACCAGGACCGAATCTCCCCGCGCTATCTATCTCTCCCCGCACTGCACACCGGTGCGCCCTCACAGATAACGACACGGCTAATTCTCAGACCGCTGATACGCCCGTTGGCCCGCGCGCGCGCGGTGGTTCCTCGCGTGCCCCCCCCCCCCCCCCCCTCGCCCCCTTACCACCGCGGGGGGGCCGCCCTGTTCGCGGCATTCGCACTAGCTAGTTGCGCTCCGCGACGCCGCCGTCGCTATCGACCCGAGCCGACGACGGCCAGCACGACGTCGGGGCGCGTGGACGCGGCGCTGCTGGGCACCTGGACACCACGGTCAGTGTGAATGGGGTCGGCGCGGCCGCGACCCGCGCGGCGGAGCAGTCGTGAGCGCTGACCGCCCGCGCGGTGGCGCCTCGACTCACCCCTTTCACAAACCCCGCTCCTTCGCACCCCACAGATGCCGTCGGCGGCGACCTCGGTGGCGTCCCACGGCCACTGGAGGGACGCCATCCTGGAGCCCTCCGAGGCGGGGTCGGCGACGACGCGCATGGCCTCCGCGACGCTCGGCAGGCACGGCGGCGGCGGCGGCGCGCGGCCGACGGTCAAGACCTGGGTCCTCATCCTGACGCACTGCATCGACTTCATCGTGCTCGTGTTCCTCGGGGTGGCGGCCGCGCTGTTCAGGTGCGGCACCAGCCCCTGCCCCCGCACACCACCCACCCGCACCCACTCCAAGAGGTCCTGCCCCGTGTTATATTCGATAAAAGATTAAGCGGCACGAAAAGCGAACAGCGTTTGTTGCCCGATCACTTATTGATTTCTATGCGCCGGCCCGGCACACTGACATTGACGGCCCATCACCCAGAGCACCACAATCGAGGCGATAGGCCCAGATCCTCCCCATCCCCCTTCGCCTACCCTTTGACGGCCTCCTATCATCGCTCTCGACGACAGGTTCGGCGACGTGTACCTGATCCGGCCGCAGCTGCAGGGTGTCGGCGGGCTGTGCCAGGACGACGCGTACAAGCAGCCCCATCGGGAGCCCGCCATCTACGTGCCGCCGTACGCCGTCGACGTCCTCACCATCGTCGGCCCCATCGTGCTGGTCGGCGTCCTGGAGGCGACGGTGGCGGTCGCGCTACACCGGCAAGTCCGGCGGACGGGCGCGTCGACCGGCGCGTTCTTCTCCAAGAGATTCGCTAAATCCGTACGTAAGTAGCGAAAGAGTTAAGACCCGGAGGAACGAGGTCTCGAACGAGGTCAACGCGACCACCTAGGTCACAATCCTTTTACCTCACCCTCTTGAGCGCAGTGGTGTTCCTGATCGGGCTGTGCGTCACCTCGCTGCTCACGGACCTGCTGAGGGTGCTGGTCTCGCGCCCGAGGCCCTACTTCCTGGCCGACAACACTTACGGCTACGGCTTCCTGCGCTACTGCACGCCCGGCGTCATCGAGGACTCGTCCATGGGCTGGGAGGCAAGTCCACGACGGCGGAATGCGTCGGCGCGCCGGACGTCGCGACATCCAGGGGGCGGCATCGTTTCGACGTCATTCGTCCCTCACGTTCGGTCCTTCCCTTCCCCCCGCAGGAGCGCGACGCCCGCCTGTCCTTCCCCAGCTACCGCTGCAGCGTGCTGGCGTACGCGGGCGCCGTGGTGGCCCTCCGCGCCGAGAGGTCGCTGCGCCTGCTGCGCGTCGGCGGCGTGTACGTGCTGCGCGCGCTGGCCCTGGTGCTGGCCGTGCAGCCCGCCCTGCTGCTCGCCTCGCAGGCCCTGGACTCCAGGTCCAACCACTGGCAGGACATTGTCGTCGGCCTGCTGCTCGGCGCCGTCCTGGGCGCGTACACGGTACGTCCAGAGAAATTCGAGCCAACACCGAAACTCCCGGTTTTTATCTCGATTTTTCTGATTTTTGGCTATTTTTAAATTGACCTTTGCCCCTTGCACACCGTCGTGTTGCGTGCCCCACAGGAGCTGGCGCTCGGCTGCGACCTAGGGGCGCAGCTCGAGAGCGTGGCCGCCGTGCCGCTGACCTCGCCGGGCATCCCCGTGCACACCCTGCCCAGGCCGCGCGCCGAGCCCCCCGGGTCGCCGCCGCCCCTGACGACCGCGCACCTGGCCGCCGTCCTGGAGGAGTCCAACGGCACCCACCACCATCGCCACAATGCCAGCCACAAGCCAGACGACGTGTTCTACTGAGTCAATGTACTTCATTTGTTTGTTTGTTCTACAATCCGAGAACAAAAGTCATCTACGACATCACTGTTACTACTCTAGGTATTTGTAAAGACACGGTCCATGTTTGTACATTAATTTATTTTGTATTTTGTAGACTAACAAGAAACAATTAAATCTAGAAGTATATAGATAGATAATCAATAACTAAACAAAGCAAAAAAAAAAAAAGGCCATTGAGAACAGCATTACTATGTGATCACGTCAGACAGCAAAACAAAATCCAACAAATACTGATACAAAGTCCTCGTTTTACACATGTACTTTCACTTGGATGAAAATAATTAAAAAGTAAATCGCAATCGTAGTCAAAATCAAACAGTAATAAAGATTTTTGAAGATTTATAAACACACAGAAACTGACACAATGAAGTACTGTGAACACCTAGAATGCTTCTGTACAATCTCTGTGAACAAACTGTTACAAAATAAAATATATGGTAACTAACATCACCAATTCACACAATGTAGAAGTTTAAAACTGTATGACAACAACATCATACAGATATAACTGGCCAATATTTACAGTATACAATAATGATTCCAATCACCAACCTCAAAATATGAGAGAAATTTGGAATATATAAAACAATAGAATCTGAATTCACAACACCTGGCAATCCTTCACTATCACAGAAGTTCAAAAGAGATGTAGTATAGATTAAGATCGAAATGCAGTTGGATAATTTTAGACAAAACAGATAATTTTTTCACGTCGTCTAATCTGCTGTTGAGAGACAAACTTTCAAATGCTTCACCTTTTTTCGGTGAGCAGTTCACTTCAGTCATGGGAAAACTTTGAAGATGCAGTACTTAAATTTTTTTTATCAGCGGAACTTTAAAGTTATCCACAAAATGAAAAACACCACAATTGAAAATAAGAAAAGATAAACAATGTAGTAGTTGTGTCCACCTTTCGCTAACCGTAGAACTCGGTTCATGGTATTCCCTAGAAATCCACCAGTCTTCTCGAAGTCTTCATCCTGCAAATTATAAAACTTTGTATGAAACGGAGAATGATGGAGAATACCCATAAAGGATAGATAAATCACAAACTAAGCAAATTAAACAATAAAAAAATAATTCTATAACCTACCATATCCCTCAGAAGTTTGTCTTGGTACCTCACTTCTGCCCCGATATCAATGGAAAGCTGTGAAAACAAACAAAAATTGTAATCAAAGAGAAGAGGAAAGAATCAAAATTGACAGGGTATGATTTAAAGGGTGTTTTACTGACCGATTTTAAAACATGAATTTTGTCCTTCAGCTGGTCCGTCATTTTCTCATTTTCCTCCTCCACGTTGTTCCCTGCCTCGTACTGAGTAGGCAGAGGCTCATAGTAATTTCCTAGTGAGAATTACAGATCATGATTTATGACAAGTACTATAGAAAACAAAATTTGTGAAAACAACAAACCTGCATGTGCTCTTCTCATTTTGGATTGATCCCTCTGCATGAATGTGACTGAAGAAAATAATCAAAGGCCGTCACTGGCTGGACATCCTGAAATTCATATAATTGTCAAAAATAAAATTGATAAAAACAAAGCGCCGGCATCAGCAGTAATTAAAATGCAGACATTCAGTAACCAGCTGATAGTTTGCTAACTGAAATACACCTGTTTGCATCTACCAGAATTAAGGACAGGAACCAGTACTCAAATTTAAGCAAATAGAAAAGGGACTGTGCCTTAACCAGCATCAGAAGGATACTAAAATAATTTGAGTGGAATACTTCTTCAACTTCAAGGAAAGTTATATGAAGTTCGCATATTGACATGAACTTGAGTACACTACACGTCTGTAAGCTAGATTGATCACGTTATCAGAACCTGATGTCAATTTTTTCCTTAATCAAAGTGCCACGATGAGAAAGGATCTCTTATAGATAGATTAATAAGATTGGTCCTGCTGAGAAAAAATACCTAAACTATTTTAACAGAAGTATGCCAAAAATCATTGTTGAAACATGTCAGCCGTCAATCATTGCCAATGCAATACACACATTTGAAACCATTGAAATTAAAACTGAATTTCCTTCTATTAACTGATGACGAGACATTTGTGATGACATATGTTCTAGATCTAGACAGATCATCTGAATGAATTTTGCACCAACTGACAGGTTAGGTTATCGAATAAAGGCTATGAGGGGATGGCGCAGGTAGATTTATTAACTGACACACGACAGAACTATCAAAAAACCTTTCCTGATCCCTGATACTCACAGTTTATCAACTCAGCAGCAAAAATGATGTAAATATAATTGTTGTTGTGACGTATATCTCCGCTCGGTTAGTGAACTGTCAACTGTTCGTTTGAGTGTGTTCAAGTGCTACCATCCGAACCAGGAACAAAATCAGCGTCTTTTATACTTTAAAAAAATCTAATTCATTGGATCTTACAGTGTTCTTATGTTTGATAGAATCGCCTCTTCTCCAAATTTTAGTGCCCGGTAGATTTTGAGAACTTTTTGCTAGTGTTAACATTTGAATGCGAGTTACTTCTAGCATGTTAAGGTTGGTGATTCATCAGGTGAAAGAAGAGCGAAAATCAAACACTTGCTTCTTTGGTCGGGAAAAGCTACGGCCAATCCACAACGAAACAAAGATATATTTTCTTCAAAAACTCAAAAAACAAGGCAGGATAATGAATAACATAACATGATTTCACTGAAATGTCATATAAGCTTAAGAATGACAATAAGTGACGACTAAAGCATTCAATTCAAAATTACATTAGTTAACATAATCTGTATAAATCTATATATAACTCACTGAATGTCGAAAACACTTTGTTTCTTTGGTCAGGATAAGATATGGCAAGTCGACAAATTCAGTTTCCTCAAAACACAAGGGGATAAACATAACATGATTGGTGAAATTGATTGAACAAACCGCAATAGGAAAAATAGAAACTGTTGAAAAAGTGTCATATTTTCTGCTAGCACAAGCAGAATGATCATTGAAAATTAAAATATACAATTGATGTCCAATAGCACATTGCTTCTTAGGTCAGGAGAATCTGGCTAGTCTACGAATAAATTTTCCTCAATATGCAAGGCTGAACAATAACATGATAGCTGAAATTAAACAATAAGCCAATATACAAAAATTGAAACAGAAGAAAAATGTCATATTTTCTGTCAACACAATAATGACCATTAACGAGAATTATTAAAGCATTCAAATTATTTAGTTAACATAAAACATAGATCTTTAAACAAGTGTAAAAAGGTAATTTTAAAACTATGATGGCACAAACTTAATTTAAGGAAGAGACATTCATCTTCCAAATTTTAAACATGATAAGAAAAACTATAAACATCAAAAATCAAAATGAAACAATGGCTACTTTCTGTAGGAGCGCAATGAGCCATCACATCGGCGAGGTGTTTTCTTTAACAGAACTGCCACCGATGGTTGCCTGTTGTAGGGGCAGTGGGACCTGGTATGAGCATATGCCCCTGTCGCCCCACATATTTCACACCTGAACAAAAATAAAGGCATTATTGTCATATGATGCAAAAATTGAAGACATTGTTTTCTGGAACATGTGGAACGGGTAGTACTTCAGTCTTTGGAGCACTGGGCACTCCACACGCATTGTGCCATCTGGCTGTTTCGCATGCAGGCGGTGATCATTATATAGGGAGGGCAATTCTCCATTACCCTTACAAAAGGCACAGAAAGCAACTGAAAACAGACGAAGTTCCAATGTAGTTTACAAACAGTGAGTCACAGTTTCAGTTTGATTGTTTTACATGAAATCTGGGAACTTACTTTGATTTTTCAATGGTCTCCTCTGACCCCAAAAATGGTTTCTATTATTATTATAATTTGACGGCAGCAATCTCGGTTCACTTCTCGGACCATCGGTCAGGCACAATAACTGCGTCAGAGCCACCAAGTTATCTCTGGCAAAAAAATTAGTAAAATGTATAAGTCGGACTTGCCATTGAAGAAATAAAATGCAAATTACTCTAGTTTAAAAAGTTAAACATCACTCACATTGTTGCGCTGGTCGGTTCTGATCCGGCAGCGGATGGCGACGGGTAGGTGCTCGTGCCCAAGGCCCCCATGTCCATGGCCTCCTCCACGGCCGCTGCTGCAGTCCTCTCGCCGAACGCGGGGAGGTCGCGACCCTCGTGATGCACGCCCTGGGGGAAGGCCCTCATCGGACTGGCGACGGGCGGCGGGTGCGGCGGCGACCACAGGTGTCCGGCGGTGTGCCAGGACGGCGACAGAGGGGCTGCCGTGGACGCCGAGGGCGGCGAGGACTCCTGGGATTGCACGGAGGACGACGTCGAGGTCCGGTAGTACCTTGACGACGCGCCAGGATCCTGACCCCATTGCTGCGGCCCGTGCGGGGCGGGCAGACCAGCGTGGAGCAGCAGAGGGGAGGACGTCGACGGGGAGTACGCGACCCCTGGCGAGTCCAGCAGCTCCCGGCACGCCCAGGATGCCGAGGGTGGCGGCGAGGACATGAAGTGCTTCGGGGGCGTCGACGGCCTCATGGGCGGCGACAGCGGCCTCCACTGCGACGTCATCGCCATCCCGTCCGGGTTGCCGCGGGCGCCTCGGTTCACAACGATGGCCCTCCGCCGGTTGGCGTCTGGAATCAGCAGGGCGCCGTTAAGGATACAGAGCGTCCCCAACCGGAAATGGAAAGTGCGTCGATACGTCGATCCGATGTCGGTTTGAACACTCGATTTGAGTGACAATATCAGCCGATTCGACGCCGATCGACTTCCATTTCTGGCTGGGGTCGGGAGCAGGCAGGGGGTGGTTGACCTCGGTCACGACCAGGGCGGGGACTCACCTCTGGCCCAGGTGGGCTGCATCATGGTATGGTCGACGGGGACGCGAGAGGCCTATCCTGGACAAGCTGCGCTGGTTGCAGCTCACACGGGGCGCTGCTCACACGGGGAGGCGCGGGGGTGCGCGCGGGGGTGCGCGCGGGGGTGAGCGCGAGCGCGGCGGCGGAGTCACGGCAGGGGGATGGATGCGTGCACACACTCTGAGCTCCGAACGTCGACTGACAGATCTGTGTCTCTCCGCGCGCTGCGCCCCGCCCCGCCCCGCCCGGCCGGCGCGCCACCCGCGATCCCACGTCATCACCACACCTCACAGGGTCCCACGGTCCTCCCCTGCCTCAAGGCGAGCGCGAGGGGTGGCGGGGCGGGGCGGTCGCTAGGTGGGCGAGTTGCGGCTGGCAACTGGCAACCTAGCGGCCAAAGCAAGCGCCTCGGCAAGTTTAAGACACGCAAATTTGGTGGGAAAGGGTGTATTTCGCTGCAGCTGATTGCGCCGTATTCCACGAAATTGGCGTAACGTGTCTTAACAACTGCAGCCGAGGGGCTTGAACTTGAATTTGCTTGTCGCCTGTTGCTGCCCGTAACTCGCCCGCCTAGCGACCACCCCGCCACCCCCGCCCCGCCACCCCCACCCCCGCGCTCGCTCGGAGGCCGGGAGGACCGTGGGGCCGTGTGTGACGTATGTGATGAGTCGAAATCGCGTCGAATTTCCAAATCGCAAGGCTATCTGATGCAGCAGCAGCATGTAGCTGAGAGCATCGCGGGCTGGATTGGCAGCTAGACGTGGCTTGCACCTCGGCCTCGGCGGTGGCCTTTGACACTTCGGCGGCGTCACCGCGGCGGTGGCGGTCCGCGTTGTGGGTGGAGGCACGACGACGCTGCACTCGTTGGTGTTTACAACATAGGACGCCGAGCTGGCATTGTCAATGACATGGACGGGGCCAGATGGGTTTATTGCACATCGCATCACGTGTTTGTCGGCGCTGCGGTGCGGTGGTGCGCCAGTGCACCCCTCCGCCTACGAGCCGACGACGCTCGCTTCCGAGAAAGCCGGGCCGCTCGTCCTGGAGCGGGGGGGAACCGCGCCGCCGCCGGAGCTGAGGAGTCGGGCCGGAGGCATGCCGCCCATTGCGGAGAGGAAGCTAGGGTGACCACACTCGCCGTCCGCAGCAGTCAGTCGGCAACCACTTGACTCTGGCAGTCGGCATTTGTTCAGGGCCCAGTGTAGGCCGTGGGCCAAGTAGTTTGGTGATCATTTTGTCATCGGTGTCCTGTTCCCGTCATCAGCCGTCAGCCGGGCCACCGCCGGCGACCTCCATATGCGCGGTGCGTTGAGGTCCCCGTCCCCGCCCGCGAGGCCGGGCCGAAGGGAGCCGCGGGTACGAATCCAGGGGGTGAGGGGGGGGGGCTGAACAACCCACCGGGTCCTTAACAAAACGCTAGTTGGGTAGGCACAAGGTAGGCTGCCTCGCGCCTGCAAGTAGGCAACACGCTGCTTCCCGTCTCCACAGGGACACGGGTCTGGATCCGCCCCTGCAGTGAAGCCGCAAGCCGTGCCTCTGGCAATGCCGGGAGCCCTTTCGGCTTCGCCCTTGGCCGCCAAGTCATACCGTCACCTCTGTCTGACCCGCCGTGGGAGTGATCGGATCAGGTAGCACGACGGGGTGCTCGGACGGACCGGCCCGCGGCCCGGCCTCCGCTTCCTAAAACAAAGGGGCGGCGGTCGGTAGCGGGCGCCACGGAGGGGGATTAGCAGAGAAGGTGCCAAGCCGTGTGTTGGGGGGAGCGAGTGAAGATCACGCGATGTGCGTACCGGCGGGGACCAGGCGAGGGGAAAGTCCAGGATAAGGTCAAGAAGCGGGACGGTGAAGGACGGCGGGGACCTCAAAGCCCGGACCCGGAAGTTGTTGACAATGGCAAACGACAATGGACCCAAATGACAGAGGGCGTGAGAGTGTTGAGTCCGATCAGCATACTACCGCGCACTCCCGTGGTTATACTGTACCGCACGCACGGGCGCGGGCGGGCTTGCCTACCTCCCCTGTTCACGGCGTCAGGCGTCTTACGGAGTAGGCAACTCACCTGTACGTGCGAATGCGGCTCTTCATATCTACAGAAGAGTGTGTTGGGGGGGGGGGGTAATCAGCCAATCAGTCACCAGTGAGGTCAAATTATTTTCAGCGCTACGAAAATAGCAACGCGTTGTCGGTGTTGGTGCCGCGCGTGGCATGCGTAGAGTGTGTCAAAGGCGTTCTGCTGCTTGTGTGTCAAAGTCAAAGTCATCCTCTGCTGCTTGTGAGCACAAGCACGGCGGCGCCGCCCACGGCGCGGTCCAGTCCCGTCTGAAGCCTCTTCTTTTTGGGGGCTGGCGTTCAAACGGTCCATGTGTTTCGGTACATGCATACTCGCTGGAGGCACGCCTGGGCACGCCGGCCAGACGCCTTGCCGCGTCCGTTTGGCAGCGCCGCGTCGTTGGGTGTTCGCAGTGCACGTGAACCCCGCAGGCGTGCCCTGGCCGGCTCTCGATCTAGAAGTTGGGAAGAAAGAAGGCGAACAGCCTTGCCAATACCACGGAAGGGCTTACAAGCACACTCTAGCTCGCCTTTTCTCCTGCTCCAGCGGCTGCGCGACGGCTCTGGAGCGGACTGTACGGTGCTGGCTGGAGCCCGGCTGGAGAGCGATGGTGGCGGAGGGGAGGGGGCCCCTCCGGCCGCGGCGCGGTGGGTGGAGCCAAGCGGCGAGGGGAGATGGCGAGCTCCCCCCTCCACCACCGCACCCGCCCGGACCGCCTGCCCTCCCCTCCCCGCCTGCCCCCTCGCGCGGGGACGGCGCGCTGCCACTGATGCTGGAAGCCCTCGGCCCGGACCTCAGGGTGTCACTTCGTGTCGAGCCTCTGCCGCACTCGCATCGCTCCCTCGCTCTGGTCTAGCACCGCCTGCCTGCGCCCTGCAACTCATAGCTGCACTGCACCGGACCGGTCCTGCCTGCCATCGCCCCTGCGTGGACTGCAAACAGCCCTGCAGCGGCCCTCCGCGTCGGACTGCCTGCGCCTGCAGCGCCCCTGCAACTGCCCTGCAACCGCCCTGCTCGCCGCCCTGCGCCTGCAACAGCCCTGCACGTCGGCCTGAGCCTGCAACAGAGCCCTGCCCGTCGTCCGGCGCTCCCCGCACCTGCAATGGCTGCTCTCCACGGTAAGTCCTTGAATAATTTATTGGTTGGAGAAGAGGGGGGAGGGGGTAATGAGAATGTTTGCAGTCTGCACTCTTGCATTGAAGTTTCCTGGGCCGATTCCACAGCGGAGCAGGGGGGGGGGGAGGGAATGCCATGCCATGCCAGTCGTCCTCAAACGGGTCCTCTCAGTGAGCGTGAACTTTTTTTGCATCGGGCGTGGTAGATTTTAAACATTTCCGTGCTGCTAGTTACCCTGTTAAAATTGTGACAACATTTTGCTGCTCCCCTTGTGTCGCGACGCGAGTCCCCTCCGCAGTGCTGCCCAAGCTCCTGGCCGCCTTGCTCATGTCTCTGTTTGTCTCTCTGCACCACAGTGAAGGACGAGCTCCTCTCTGCCGTCGTCAACCTCTTGCCTTGGTGGGACGCCGACGTGCACCTGCTCAAGATGGACGCCGGCGGCACCGACGTCGAGTTCTGCCGGGGGGGCGAGGACATGCCCAGCTGTGACGCCGCCGCCAGCTGCTTCTCGTGGTTGGACTCCGAGGAGCAGAGCGACTTGTTCGGCCCGGGCGCCGCCACCGCCGCCGTCGCCGCGGCCATCACCCCCGTGTCCTCGGACACCGACGAGGACGCCATCGCCGCCCTCCTGTCCTGCCTGGAGACCGCGGAGGAGCGGGCCATGCCCAGCCCTGACGCCACCGACTTCCTCTCGTGGTTGGACTCCGAGGAGGAGAGCGACTTGCTCGGCCCCAGCGCTACGACCGCCGCCGCCACCACGACCCCCTTGTCCTCGGACACCGACGAGGACGCCGACGACAGCGGCTTCAGCAGCGGTCACTCGTGAGTATGAGCCCCTTCCCTCTCTGACCCCCGCGAGCTACGCGGGTAGGCAGCCGGCCTGACGTCTGGCTGAGGTGCTCACCCTGGCGGCATTGTGACAGACACCTGTTTTTCTCGTTCCAGGCGATCGCACAGCGAGAGCAGCGACGGCGCCGCGGCGGACCCGGTGGACCCGTGGAACGTCCGCACCGTGTACCCGTCGACGACCTGCGCCGCCCTGTCGCCTTGGGCGAATTTCAACATCTGGTCGCCCTCAACAGAGGACGATGAACTAGTGAAAATGGTGAGTGGAATTGGGACCCTTTGATTTGATAGCAAGTTCCTTTTTTTTTCATGGTGTGCATTTCATGCCCATAGCTGAGTTCAAGAAGTTCCCATTGACCAAAGATTGTATTTTAGAAAACCATGTTGGCTGCTGAAGTTGTAAGATTTTTTTTTCAAATCAGTATCATCTTAGCCCCTTGCCTCATTGACAAATATTTTTCCCAATATTTTTCTGTTGCGTTTGCATTCAATAATTTTTTGACTTCTTTTTCTGTTTGTTCGTAAAGTTTGGCTTGACTCAGAACAAATTATTTGCATCTAGACTGGCACTTTCTCTCTTTTCCAGTTTTTCAATGAGATCTAAAAGTATGATTCAAAAATATGGTTTCTTATTTTTTTTAAATTTGTTTTGCCTTGCCATAAGAAATGGATTTAAAGTCTGGGTTTACAAAAGCTTATTAGGAAAATAGTACTTCAAGATATGTTTAGAAAATACATTTTTACATAATGGCAGCACAGCCAATGGCAATTTTTACTCAAGCAAAAATTCTTTTGATGCTCAGTCCTTAGTATTCTATTTCAAGAAATAATTGTAACCTTGGCTTCCAGATTCTGAAAGCAAACAAGTAATGTTTTACCCTGTCTCTCTTTCAGGCTTCATCTGTGCGGTGGAGTTCTTCAAAAAGCAGCAGCACGTCCTCCGATGATGCAGAGTGGGGGATTTTCGATTCTTGGGAGCCCATGCCCAATGAGGAGGAAGCGGTATGCAATCTTTAAGCTATTTATATTCACCTTGACTTTGAATTTCAGGGATGTTACTGATCTGTACTGATACCATCTCTTCTCTTTCCAGGAAGTTCTAAGGCAGTTGCAAATTCAAGAGGAGGCTATCATTCATGCGCGGGCAGCACTGAAGAGGGAAGAGAAGAAGAACAGATACTTCCAGAAGGTTCGTTCTTTTAAAATTCGTAAATGAGAATGTATTTATTGTTATCTTAGTCT